CCCCGCCATTCTCAGAAGCTGCAGCATTTGCTAAGTACACTGTATTTTGCAGGGTGTGGTTAGAAATGTCATTGTGTACACGGCGCTAGCCCTGTCCGGTAGGCGGAGCTGGTGCCGCCTCCCGGGTGGGGGTTAGAGTATGAAGGCTGCTACTGCCACCATTTATGAGGGCTTGCACTCCCACCATTTATGAGGGCTTGAACTCCCACCATTTATGAGGGCCTCTGTGTGCCAGTAACAATTCCTTTTACTCTTATATTTATCACCATTGGTAGCGTGACGATAGGAGGCTCGTGGGTAGGTGTAATGATAGTATCAAGCAATAGGGAAGAAATAACGGTACATACTGTAGGTAAATAATAGACACAATTATACAAATACAAAGTTTATTTAAACATGAATATGAAATTAGAAGAAAGAATTTATTTGTACTAACAGACGAAATCTAGTCCTAGGCCCTCAGGCTCAACATACTCACACCATTACTGGGTGGACATATTCAATAACACTTCCAACCCTACTGGGTGGACATACTCAATAACACAACTATAATAGTCACTTAGCACCATAAATACTAGGGCAACTGCCACTACAACGCTCAGTCGTCAGGTGTGTTACTCAAGCAACAGCCATGGGGTCCAGCCACCATGGAGTACTATCCGACGAACTCTGGAGATCCCAGTGGATTAATTCCACCACACAAATAGCCCTACTGAGTTAGACACTCATCCACCAATGATGGGGGCTGGTAGTGGTGTGGGGCTTGGTGATCCGGCGTCACCTCGTGGGCCGAGCGTTAGGGCTAGACGAGCCAGCTATGGGGGCTATAGGTAGTCTGAAGTGTCTGACGGCCGGGTCTCACGAAGGTAACTGATCCTACTGGACCTCGGACATCTCCCCAGACATAGTGGATACAACATCCACGTTACAGACACGGCCTAGGCTGCGTTAGGGACCTGTATGGATGAAGGGACGGGCACTTACTAACCGGTGACAACAACATCACGTTTCAGGGGACGTTAAAGACGTAAATATGACTTTACTCAGAGCATATCAACTACGTTACTGTAACACTTGCACAATCAACTATTAATTGGGTCAAATCACTTAAAGAAGGGCAAATTACAACACAGCGTGGAATGGCATACCTGTATGGATGAAGGGACGGGCACTTACTAACGGTTAAAATGCCCGCGTGCCCTCACTCAAACCAGACCAGGGAGTCCACCTACTCCTATTCCGATGAATTAATTTACGGTACCCTCTGACGTTGAAATTGAGACTATGAACTCATTTTCATTCTCTACTATTATCTTCACTAACAATGCTCTGACTCAGCTATCGAAAGCAAAATTAAATTGATTACAAAGGGTTGGATGGCAACAGGTCCCAGCATACAGCGTCTGCTCCCATAGACAAAGACGGGGGAAACAGAGAAAACGGGGGACGTTTCCACTGGGGGACTCGGAAGGTTTTGTGGACATTTGAGCGTAATATGAATCCTTAAGGTTTTCAGGTTAGCTCTTATCATGACCATTACAAGAGCGGGTGGAGGGTGCACTGCTGTACCCTGGCCCTGTGTCGGCGCACTTGCTTCCAGCCCCGAGTATAACCCATGTACACCCGTTCCCGTTCTTCCTTGACTCCTCCCTTTTCTGCTTTAAGTCCTGCAGGAGCTTCTTGTGCTGTTCCCTCTGTATTACTGTGCGATTTGGGTGAATGAATACATCCCGAAATGCCTCGCTCCTTGCTAAGATTTTTGCCTGCCGAATAACCTGCCATTTCTCTTCCACGCTCGCTAGTGTGATCCTGAGAGGATGAGGCTTATCCCCCTGCTTTTGTCCCAGCCTCCTCACATCCTGAGGGGTTGATGGAATCTTCAGAACCTCTGTACAAATTTTTTGAAACAGCATCTTATCGTGTGTTACCTTACTCACAGTTCCCTCCGCCTGGCTCTCTGGGACTCCAAAAACTATTACATTGTTCCTGCGCTGGAAACGTTCCTGGTGTTCCTCTTCTCCCCTAACAGTAGGTCCGTTAATTTTCATTTCTTCGACACACTTCTTCAGAGTCCCAATCTGCTGTAGAACCTGTTCTGATCCTGCATTACTCCCCGCCCCCTCCCGTGGCCCTGCTAATATGTCAGCATAACTCCTCTTAGCAACCACCTCCATTCTATCGGCTCCTCAGTCTTAGCAAGGATCTCTTTCCCAACTTGCTCCAGTTTGGCAACCAGCTGGGCTCCAGCTTCATCTATTTTCGTCCCTAGAGAACTCGTTCCCTAATGGCTTGCAATCGCTTCATTTACCTTGACTATGCAGTCAGGGCAATACCAGCAACAGCCATCATATTTTATGGCAGTTAGTAACGTCCTAAACGTTCGCATTAGTCAGGCCTGTATCCTCCATATCCGACGTCTCCCTGCAGTAATCACATACCAACTCATGGTTGTTGTTGTTGTGGGGGTGCAGACTGTGTAAATTACACCTATTTAAAAAAAAAGTAGAGAGAGAAAAAAAAAAGAACAGTACTTAGCTACTCTCTGTTGCCTATAGAGTTGTCTTCTGCGACTGCATACACTGTATCTCCCTGTGAATGGTGTATTGTAGGCACAGTTTCAGTCCTTGAGAAAGCACACAAACAAAATAAAATTTAAAGTCTCTGTGGCACCTATAACTCGACTTGGTTTCAGCTGGCACGGTGCCTTTCCAGCTTGCTTGCTAGTTAGCGCTCACTTTAAGTTATTTACAACTTCCGCGGTCACTGATGAAACTATGAACTATCACCGTGTGCACTGTATCTCCCTGTGAGTGGTGTATTATAAACATAGTTTCAATCCTTGAAAAAGCACACAAACAAAATAAAATTTAAAGTCTCTGTGGCACCTATGACACGAATAGGCTGGCAGTGGTCCTTACCAGCTTGATTGCCAATATGTACAGTATTCACTTTAAGTTACACTATTTACAGCCTCTTCTGCAGACACTGATGACACTATGAACTGATTTTCCTAAAGTCACAGTACTACACTGCCTGGTTGGCCTTTATCACAGCCGTGACCACAACTATTTAAAAAAAAAATAAAAAATAAAAGCTTTGTCATATAGCAGCGAGTTTGTACCTCCAACTCAGTGGAAATTGAGTTTTCAAAAATACAATCGCGTCTAGCATTAAAAATCCTACATCGATTTACACTTTCACATCACTAAGACGATCTTGATGATCTTATGTAATCACTGTCCAATTTCTGCCGCTCAACATCGAAGGCCCGAATGCCGAACACGCTTTGTTACAGAGACGCAACACGATCCGACCCGCCTGCCAGCAGTAACCACTTTTCAATATTTTAAACACACATGAATGATGTGGAAGCCGAACAGAGATTGGCTTGGCATTGCTTGGGGATGCCGTGACGTTCTGTAAGTGAGAGGTAGCGTGCCAAGCCGAGAGAGCGTAGCGCGGCAAGACGAGAGAGCTTGATGAGCAGTAAAAAATAGTCCGTGACAATGCAAAAACGACATTAAATTGAGTCATCGAGACATTAAATGAATTATTGGTATCTAAAGAGTAGCGACGTTGTAACAAAACAACGATAAGCAGGGTGACGTTAAACGGGGACTTACTGGACAGTAAAAACTGAATGAAAATAAAGTGAAATGTGCATAGTCTAACTAAGAGTGCCACAGTCCAGTAAATCATAACTATATACAGTAATTATAAATTATATTGCAAGAGCATGAGAATGAAACTGGTTTGGCTGGCTAATTTTGTTTCATAATAAATGGTAGTGTGAAGGTAAAGGTGCTGTGGGTATGGTAGTACAGTACTGTACCAGAAAGGAGTGTGGATGATCCCAGGGTGAGGTGATGGAAGAGGGTCAACTATCCATGGTCTACTGCTAACCTTAATGATTTTGCCATTATCCAGAGTTTTTTGACAATCCTTTTTTATTACAAAGGCATAGTACTACAGTATTATGGTGTAACACTTGAGCAAGATACTTCATGAAATAACTTTTATGAAATTCATAGGATTACTGATACCATACGGTACTGTTATGTGCGTGCGTGTATTAGTTATACTCTATACTTTATACCTATATAATTTTGTTACATACTTTATTTTAATAGTCTTGCCATAATATGCACAGCAGTGAGAAACAATAACAAATACACACACACATTTTCCCTTTATTGTGTTATTCACGCATACTGCTATAAAACATGTTTCTTATATACTTCACCTCCACGTGACCACAAGTTTGGTTTACTCCTGTCACTTCACACTCTTCTCCAAAAAAGTCATGCCATGCCAGGCTCTGCACACACACACACACACACACACATACACATACACATACACATTCTGCTGCTTCCTCCCCCCCCCCTCCACAATTATAGTGTATCTTTCACCACATCCATCTTCTCTCCTCCTCTCCTACATCCTTGAATTATACCACACTGTACGTTTTTTTTACCAATCTTTCACTCCCCATCTTCGCAGTATTTCCATACCATCTGACCAGACCCTGATTTGCTCTTTCCAATATTTCTTTTGTTTCTCATCTACACTGAACCATAAATACTACAGCTTCATTCTTACTCACCTGTGTACATTACATAAATCTTGATATCACTGGCCAGCCAAGCAATGACTTGTTTTTATTAGCAGTGATGGGAAAGAGTTTAACTTTTCAACCATTTCCTAAATGTCAGAAATAATCCTTCTGCTGCTTTGTTCTCTCTCCTACTGAAGTAAAATAAAAACCCAAATGTTTTGGCTAGAAGAGGAAGACATCTTGCAAACATGGTAAACATTGAGCAATAAATACACTATGCTCACATCTCTCCATTCAAGCATTTTGAATGGACTTGCCTCCTAACACCACTAAAAATTTGCAAGGCCACTGTAAATTATTGAAAAGGTGTAAAGATGTTGATTTATAAAATGTAAATGCATGAATCACAAAATTGTAAGGGATCAAGGTAAGCAGATGGAAGACTTGCATGGCCATAGGAAGGAAAAATAAAACAATGGGTTAGTGGGTGGGTATTATTCTTTTTTTTTTCAAATTTTATTAAAGAGATCCCTCATTTGTTTTGACAGGCCATAAAGTGGTCTACAAAATTACAATCCGGCAAAATCCCAAACAAGTTTCTCGTGCAGGTTAACACTGACAATACTGGAAATGATTGTCACAAACATTATGAAAGGAGTAGCTAATTATTGACAGTACAGTATCAGTAGCTACTGTGAAGAGCAGATGCAGATGGCATTGAATTTGTACAGTTGTAATTTTATAAGAATGTTTGTGTGTACCTGTATGTACTAAATGTGGCTTGGTGTTTTTGTGTACCCTGTATTTGGTTTCATTACTCTTTAAGCGAGAAGCTACTGTATAATTTTAATGTTGTTGCTTGTTAGACAATGATAGCAATAAAATAATGTACAGTTGGGTGTATGTGATTTTCTTAGATGATAGTGAGAATTTTCCAAGCTGAAAATTTACGCTTGAGAAGAATTTGCTTGACTTTCAGTTAATTTCATCACCAGAAAATATATGCTGTCATAAACCTCTATATTAAATGAATGCAAAAAATATACATTCTATTTCCATTCACTTAAAACTTCCCCAATGTCTGATTTTGAGAATTTCATGTAACAGATAAAAGATAATGAATATTACACAAATATCTATAGATACCTGTGAGTGGTAAATATTCAGTAGATTTTATGATTTAGAGTGCATGACAATATTAATGTGTAAATAAATAATTACAGGTACAGTTGCGGAAATGTGTTCCTATGCCCTCTGTGGTGACCGTGTCTCCAAACGGCCAATCTATATGACCTATAGCAAACCTATCTCCCAATCACGTCTGCTGTTACATGAGCAATACCCATTCAATCATAATTACCCGGTAGTGATAATGCTACTGTGACGGTGCCGTTTGGGTTACCACAGGGGGTGTAGGAACACATTTCCACAACTGTACAATACTACCAAGACAATGTTCTGTGTGAATTACAGTTACAGGCATTACAGTACAGTATTCAACCTTACTTAAGCAGTGACATTTTCTAATATAAACTGTCTTACACAAATCAGAGAAATAGATTTCTGTATGAAGTTAATAATAATTAGTTATACTGTACAGTATATACAGTATAACCATTTATTTAACTAAATGCCCAGTACCAGAAGAAGTGCAGATGCTATATTACTCAGACTTTTGTGGGTCCTCTATAACAGCACAGATAGTGCTGCCACATCCAGAACCATCCGTAGGTTCTTTCTAGGTAAGGAGGTGCAGAAGACACTCAAAAGAATCCTGCTGGATTTTCTAACAAATGTGGAACAGATATAATCCTACTTCCAATTTTGGGCAAGGAGGAACAGGAGTCTACTTCAGAATTTATTGTGGGTCTTCTTTACCAAGGGAGGAGCTGGAGCTATCTTCGTTCTCTTGTGGAATTTTTTTTTTACAGGAAAGATACAAAAATACCTTCTGAATTTCCTGAAGATGGGGTAAATAAGCCCTTTTAAAGCCTCCTGTGGGCCCTCTTTATTAGGGTACATACAGTACATAAGCCTTCTTCAACCTCCTGACGATCCATTTAAGAAGGGGAGATGCAGCAGGAGAAGTTCAAGACCTACCTTCAAAATTTCCTGTGAGATCTTTCTAACAGCTCACAGATGTAATACTTCTCGAAGCCACATTCATCAGCAGCATAGAAGTAGTCTGAGGCCTTGACTAAGTAGGTGAGAGTAAGACACCTCCCTGGGGTAGTGTCACCAGGTACCACCTTCCGTCCTGAGGAGTCTTCTCCTGTCCAGTAAGAGGGGTTGAGGGTTACCTCTTTCCCAATGTATGACCACCGCCACGATAATCCTGGGTACAGCCCACCTATCCAATAGCCGAAACCTGCCGGAGGTGTGGGTGATTAAATGAGAAGTATATACTATACAACACACACACACAAAAAGGAAAGTTTAATTAATAACACATCTTGTCCCCAGGAAACTCAAAATCATACCTATTAAAGCTCTAAGAAGTGAGACAAGGTCAGAGAAAAAGAAAAAAATTATCAAAATGGATGAATACAGCATTATAATGGCCCTAATACTTGGCTGTCTATAATAATGAGGATTCTTTTACAGCCAAACTCAGGCAGTGAGGAGTGTAACACTACCTACTGTATATCCAGTGATTGCATATTAGCTTCTTTCGCACCTTTTCATCTACCATGAACTGAGAAAGGCTAAGGATTTACATGAAGAATCATGTTTGTGGGCATACCAGTGGTGGATGAAGAGAGAGAGAGGTGCTGTGCGAGGTCTATGAATTCACGCCTTGTGGTGGGCTCTGCCAACTTCCCTCCAATGGCTGCACATGAGTCGTTGGCATCCTGGAAAGCAGATAATAATAATGAGATGTGTATACATGCATTCTACTCAGACTGAACAAACAATAAATTCCTAAATGTCCTTATTTACCACTTAACCGAGATAATAGGTCAGGGCACAGATGGGGAAGCAGTAGCTTGTGGCAAACCTTAAAATCTCAGCTTAGTAATATATTGACGAGTCTTAGTTGGTGTTCCAAATATACTAGACCCCACACATAATTCAGCTCAGACCTGTTTTGTGTGATATGTTGAAAAGAAGGGTGACTAAATAGGGATACTGGGGTGTGGCACATCTGGCAGGGTATAGCAGGGAAGATGTGAAATGTGACACAGCAGAGAGCATGTGAAGCATGACAGCAGAGAGGATGTGAAGTGTGACAGTAGAGACAGTGTGATGAACAGATAGGGTGTGAAATGTGACACAGCAGAGAGCATGTGAAGTGTGACACAGCAGAGAGGATGTGAAGTGTGACAGTAGAGAGGGTGTGAAATGTGACACTGCAGAGAGGATGTGAAGTGTGACACAACAGAAGGGTACAGTACCTTCCAATGTGCACGGTGGTCACGCATGACAGAGAAGTGGTAGCAGCCATTGCCGATACGAGTGAAGCTGGAGGAGGCACAAAAGCCTTCTGATGAAGGTTTCACCGTCCCCACACGGTCTATACTGCCACTAGGCTGAAGATCTGGCACAGAACAATAATGTTCACAAAATAAAATCATAGTTCCTAAAAAACATTACATGATGTAACAATAAACCTTTTCACTGTACAGTATTAGCTGAAGTGTTAACAATTGTTTATATTAATTCAATTAAAAAACAAGGTATGGTGGAGGGAAGCACCAAAGAAATCACAAACATCTTGAGTACTGTACAGTACATTGGGTTGGTTAATTCAATCCACTAACATTTTGAAACTTTGTTTATTCCATCCTCCGAGCAGGGCCAAAGGAGACAGGGTTATGTACAGGTAGTTACTGTACTGTACTGTACAGGGTATATTCATGAGAATAAAATAAATAAATGGATATTGTTTAAAAATCAGCGACATCAATATCTCTCTTTGCTGGAATCCCTGATAACCAGAACTCTCCAATACCTGAAATTAAAATTGGCTTGCAATTTTTCCCCCTGGGTCTGTGAGTGTGTTTCCGAGGTTGAAAATCGGGCGCATTTTCTGAGAAAATTCCGTAAAATAACCCCCCCCCCCCCCCCAAAAAAAAAAAATCAGGGTCTGGGAGCAAATTCAGGGAATGAAATAATGCGCTAGATCCGGAAAGATTCCGAGGAAATTTTCGCAGTACGGTGACCCCTCGGTTAACGAACTCAATCTGTTCCAGAAGGTCGTTCGTTAACTGAAAAGTTCGTTAACTGAAACCATTGTTTCAATGGGTTTTTGGGTAATTGGTTCCAGCTCCCTGAAAATTTCCTAAATTCAACAAAAATGGTAGAAAAGTTCACTTACTTTGAGGTGTGTATGTAGAAGGCTCCTGGATGATGATGATGATGATGATGATCATGATGGGATTTAGAATGGGGGTGGAGGAGAAGGAAGAAGAGAAGGCATTGGGGTGGAAGAGAAGTCACCCCATGGTGCCATTTCACCCATAAAATTTTAGCTCTCTTGGTGTAATTCAAGATTATTTTCTTTAAATCAACACTGCACTGCATTATATATTGTCAATATGTAAAATATATTTCAAAATGACCAATAATCTGCTTGGAAACACAGAAAAAAAGCATTTAGTTGAAGAGAGTCTCAAGCAAGATGTTACCTCCAGTGAAAACAGAGAGAGACTAACGCCTGTTTGCTGTGTTAAGAGGCTGGATGCCGTGCATTAAACTAGTCACTTTACCTTCAATTATGTTCAATAATTGTTAAAATGACTAAAAAATTGAATTTTAAACTTTTAAAATTATTGAATAGTATAAACTTTTTGATATTTACTAAAATAGTAAGGAATTTAAGCCCTAGAACCGATTAATGTATTGGCGGACTGATACTAAAGCTGGTTGCCCGGTCAGTGCAAGCGAAAACATGTTGAGGTCGGTTCGTAAGAAATTCGTTAACCGAATTTTTGTTCGTTAACCGAATTGAAGATCCTTATGGAAGGCAGTTCGTTAACCGAGGGGTCACTGTACCCTCGAATATCCGGACGAAAGGTGGGGGGACCACCTGTCCGAAAAAAACGATTGTCTGTGTTTTCCGCTGAATGTACTAAATGTATAAAAATGATAAAAGACACCCCCCACATTTTAGCAGGGAGTATTTAGGAAAAAACTCGTGTGTATTTTCCTCCTGTAGCCATAGTTTCCTTAAAATAATAATACAGTACAGTACTAGGAAATGTGAGGAATAAATAAAAATAATACCAATAAAAAATACTGTACCAAATCAGTAAATAAAATCCGAATTAAAGTTTAACACAGTCACCATTTGCATACACTCCCTGCTTCATCATAGCAACAGAGACTAGCTGGGATGCAAATTCCCTAGCAATGCTCCCCACCCCCTACACTCTCCTTCCACTCCCTCACCGAGTCAGCTAACTCATGTGCAAAGAAATGTATATTCCCTTTACGTGTTGGCCCTTAGGACAACTGTAGTACAGTACAGCATTTCTTTTACTTTTTTCACTATGTATGTAGGATGGTGTGTGCATGTAACTGGGCAAAATAAATAAAGTTACGTATATCTACCCGAAAATACATCAACCATAACACCTCACAGCTTGGCCCAAGTAGCCCGGTAGTTGCTGTGACAAGTCTAACCTGGCTAAAATGCCACGATTAATCACTAATAATAACAGTAATCCAGTGATATATGGCAGGGAGTGAGGGGAGTTACAATAGCAGACGATGCTTTTAATTAGCAGTCATTCACACGCTCCCTTTGCCAGGCGTACTATCGAAATACGTATGGGAGAACTACATATCTTGTAGTCTAATTTGAAAACTGTGATGGGCACAGTGATAAACAAATTATATAAACCATACATTTACATACAATAACATAAAAAGAAACATTGTATCGTTACTATAGTTAATGAAATAATATTCCCACAAACAACAATTGACAACTCTATGTTTTTTGCCTCAGGCACCTGTGTCCCTTGTGCGGACATCTTAGTTACATGGGCCTAAGATGATATTTGTTCTGTTTTGGGAATGCTTCTCGGCCCCCCTGAACCCCCAAATTTTGTCCGAATCTTCCAAAATCTGGATTTACCTGGTCCGAACATTCGAGGGTTCACTGAACTCGGAAAAATTACGGGGATGTGGGATTTACCCGGGATTGAGAGAGTTGCCTCTTTACTCGGAGATCTCTCATCCCCGGAAGGGCTTTGTGCACCAATTGTTCCAGCTAACAGGGATATCACTTTTAAATACAAAAATATGGGACAAACACCAAGTGGCTATTTTTTTTTTTTACAGGGATTAGCCCACCCGGGCACAGGTCACTGACCCACATCGTGGCCTGGGGGGCGAAAATGCATTAATAATAATAATAATAATAATAATAATAATAATAATAATTCAGATAAGTGAATTTTTTAATGAAAAATACAAAAATAAAAATAATTATGATATCAATAATAATAACAACACTGTAATAATAATAACAATAATAAAGAAATACAAAAATGAAAAAGTGAGAAACGATATATGTATGTTGTGTTGTCAAAGTGAGAGAAACAATCGAGACTGCAATTGTGTGTAATGAGGCAGAAAGTCAGATCAGCAACGTGGGACTTGGTGACAATTTTTATGATGCCATATGGCAGCAGGGTCTACCATTAGATAGTACTGTACATCATGCTTCCAGTATCTTCCCAGGTGGTAGCACCTCCCTGTTTGGTAGCTTCCTACTACCTATTTAAGTGATTAATAAAACAAGTTTAAAATCATAAATGCACATAGATGAAGAAGTTCAAGTTCTGAGATAAGCAAATAAATGTAACTACAGTACAAAAGAAGAATACAGATTGGGGTACACAAATTTTAATGTGAGAAACAAAATCGTTCATACAAGGGCATATCACTGATAGCAGGTTTTGGTTTTTATTGATCGGCTCGTTAGTGCTTGGGCGGTCAGTCACATCTCTGTTACGCACTGTTGGCAAGTACTGTTGGTCTTATCGAGAACATTTAAAGTCTCTATATGTGAACTGGTGGTAATGTTGGTGGATGTGTTTACAGATAATGGAATAAGATGGTTGGGTGAATAATTGGCCTGTTCAAATAGAATGACCAAAGTGCTCATGTATGCGTATCTTTAAGTGTCTTTTTGTTTTAACAATAATATGCTGATCTCCAGCTAGCACATGCAAACTGATAAATTACTGATGATTGTAGTTGTGTGGGTATCAAATATTTTGTTGTGAAGAATTTTTAAATAGAATTTTGGGTGCTGAATATCATTTTCAGTGAAATTTGTGGGTACAGTAGTGATCATTAATGAGCTTTTAGGTTTATCCCATGGGAAAATTTATTGTACTGTGTAAGGGAATGCAGATGATGTCTATTGCATACTACTGTGGGCCAAGTATTGTTAAGAATTTTGCCAATACTGTATAAGTATTAATTAATCTCTTAGGAAAACCGTGATTAATCCATTAAGGAGTAATGTTACGCATAGGATTTTTTCTGACAATTGTCAAATGATTTTATTCACCCACACAGTGGGTTAAAGAGTAATAACTTTATACAATACCATATATTTAAACTCGATGTCAAGTTGAAAATAGTTAGAACATACCATATATTAAGAGTTCTGTAGGTGAGGATATGACCTAAGTTACATTTCTAATCAATAGGGATAAAAAATGAAAAGTTTATAGTCAACCCAGTGAAAGTACCGGTGTTTTCTGTATGTTAATAGCTCAAAACCAAGTACAGTATGTACAGGACTGTACAGTGTGCAGTTCAGCCTTCCCAAGGTGCCCTCTGCACCCTATAATGTGTGCTCTTGACACCTTCAACTGCAATTTGTCCAAATTCCTTGTTCCCATACTAATACCTTTCACCAATTACAGTACTGTACAGGTTGACAACCCTTTATCCGAAATTCCGAAAACCGAAAAGCTCTGAAAACCGAAAAAAAATTTGTGGAGCAATTTTTTTTTTTTTTTTTGGGTATTAGCCCACCCAGGCACAGGTCACTGACCCACATCGGGGCCTGGGGGGTGAAAATGTAATAGTAATAATAATTATAATAATACAGGTAATAATAATAATAATAATACAGTAATAATAATAATTATTCATAGTAAATAAAATTTTTAATAAAAAATACACAAAAATAAAATAAGAATGATAACAATAATAATAATAATGATAATAAAACTAATACTACTGTAATAATGAAGTAATAATAATAATAAAGAAATACAAGAATGAAAAAAAATATCAAAAGTGAGAAACATGACCTAGACCTATGAATTATTATTATTATTATTATTATTATTATTATTATTATTATTATTATTATTATTATTATTATTATTATTATTATATTTTAGCCCCCAGGCCCCAATGTGGGTCAGTGACCTGTGACTGGGTGGGCTGATCCCTGTAAAAAAAAAAAAAAAACCAAACTCTGAAATCCGAAAAATTCCAAAAACCGAAATGTATCTGGTCCCAAGGATTTCGGATAAGGGATTGTCAACCTGTACTAATAATTTATGTACCCCTGTACTGTTAAAGATTCTTTTAGTCTTGTTAAAAAGCTAGGTAAATGTTATTTCCTTCAACAACAGTGTTATGGCAAGTTTTGATTGTACAATCATTGTTCACCACTTTTCCACTTGCTAAAACAGTTTTTTTGTATAAATGAACTACAGTATTTCCTACTTCAGTACCATAAACTATGACACAGGTACAGATACATTCAAGATCCAGTGCATAACAGAGATATGGCTGACCACCCAAGTGACTAACGAGCTGATCACTGGCGAAGAGGATAAAAGTAAAAATTAAAGTGTGTGTGTGTGTGTGTGTAAAATATATGAATTGCAGTACTGTATACTTGAATCAACAACGAACCTCAGTACAGTAGCCAAGTACCCGGTACTTCTCTTACAATTACTTCATCACAAATAAAAAGACTTTATTCATATCTTCATCAGAATCTTTCAATGTACTGTGCTGTGTTCTGCTCATATAGGTATGATATCTTTTGGAACAATCTAGGCCCACATAGTGTCAGCATAGGAGGGAGTTATGCACTTGGTCTCACCTGAGGTACGCAAGACAATGGATTCCAACAGTGACACCCGAGCATGGAGGTCCTCTAGTGTGTCGGCCATCAGCATGAGGGCCTTCTGTACTGCCGGGGACACCACAGGGCTAGTGGTCTCAACATACTCTGCTCAATAAATTCTGAGTTATTAGGTGCCAGGGATGAAACTTAAGTTGAATAAGTGCAGTGGACGTTTATGTTCAAGTTTTTTTCATCCAAATAGGATCTCGTACATCTAATGTAAAAAAAAAATTCATATCCAGTTTAATTTGCTGGTTGTATAAGTACTGTACTGAAGTTCCAAGAATACTATAGATGCAATAAAAACACACCCACAATTCAACCACTCACATTATGCTCTTACTATGCTCACCACAAAGTCATTCTCATTACCTCCTTGATTGAGGATGTAGAGTGCATCCCTGAGGCTTCCTCTCGCAGGAGATGTCTGCTCCAGGCTGAAGAATCCAGCAGTATCACTCCTGCTTGGTGGAAGCTTTGATTCCAGGCTGGATGACCCAGGAAACCTTATTGTCCTAGATTCAACATCATTTTCCCCTTTGGTTCCTGCTGGAGATGCTGTGTTTTAGTCTAACAGTCAACTACAGTACTGTACTGTACAAGGAAATCCCACTTGTATTACATTTCACATAATGACACTCTCTCTCTCTCTCTCTCTCTCTCTCTCTCTCTCTGTGTGTGTGTGTGTGTGTGCAGGTATTTAGATTAAGTGTATACCTGTTACCAAACATAGAATCTGTAGTTGAATGAATATTGCCCCACTCTTTTTATAAAAAAGTTTAAGAAAATGTATTGTAACAGTAGGCTAGTGACAGCAACCAGATGATTAGTCACTAAGGAATAGACAATACAGTATTCATCTTTACAACTAGTGTATGATGAACACTCTTTATGGATCTGTGGAAGAATGGAGTGCTGAAAAAAATAAATAATTTTGACAGTATCACTGAGGTTGAATGATCCATAGCACGAAATCAGCTTCAATGTTTTCCTAATTGTGAGTCCAGGTACAGTAACACAAGTGACCCATTAAACTCATGATCATATGTCTATGAAAGCGAATGTGTTTATTGTTATGTTAGTGTCATTTACATTGTTATCACCGCTGGCTTCAGCTGCAGTGCTGGCGTGTGATGCCATTAAATCTTTCGACCTGTGACCTCGCCAGATGTAGAAGTGTTTACAGACAAGTCCTGGTTCTGCTGAGTGGACTGTCTTAGACTGGTGGCGTTGGCTGCCCGCCCCTCCATGAGACAGATCGCCCTCTCTAGTGATGCTGTGAAGACCAGCCTTCTCCTGTCCGAGAATTTGTGCTGGGACGATTTACGCAATACAGTGGTCCCTCAGTTAACGAGCACAATCCATTCCAGCAGGTTGCTCGTTAACCAAAAAACTCATTAACCGAAACCATTGTTTCAATGGGTTTTTGGGTAATTGGTTCCAGCTCACCGAAAATTGCCTAAATTCAACAAAAAAGGTAGAAAAGTACACTTACTTTGAGGTGTGTATGTAGAAGGCTCCTGGATGATGATGATGATGGGAATTAGAATGGGGGTGGAGGAAAAGGAAGAAGAGAAGGCATTGGGGTGGAAGAGAAGTCACCCCATGGTGCCATTTCACCCATAAAATTTTAGCTCTCTTGGTGTAATTCAAGATTATTTTCTTTAAATCAACACTGCACTGCATTATATATTGTCAATATGTAAAATATATTTCAAAATGACCAATAATTTGCTTGGAAACACAGAAAAAAAGCGTTTAGTTGAAGAGAGTCTCAAGCAAGATGTTACCTCCACTGAAAACAGAGAGACTAACGCCTGTCTGGTGTGTTAACAGGCTGGATGGCACGCCAGAAACTAGTTTCTTTACCTTCAATTATGTTCAATAATTGTTAAAATGACTAAAAAAGTTAATATTAAACTTTTAAAATTATTGAATAGTATAAACTTCTTGATATTTACTAAAATAGTAAGGAATTTAAGCCCTAAAACTGATTACTGTATTGGCGGACTAATACTACAGCTGGTGGACCGCCAAATGCAAGCGAAAACATGTTGAAGTCGGCTCGTAAAAAACTCATTAATCGAGGGATTGCTCGTTAACCGAAGTTAGGAATCTTATGGAAGGCAAATCGTTAACCGAAATCTCGTTAACCGAGGCGCTCGTTAACCGAGGGACCACTGTACTGTTTTCTCTTGGAACACCATACTGATCTGCATTGACCCGCACTTGTAAGTACAACCTAAGTGATGACATACCCCTAGGTACTGAAATATTGTTGACTAATTATGCCTACTCGTTTCTGCCTAACCTGGAGTAATAAGACAATGCTGAATGAAGCGAAGCTAAGATTAATAGAGTTATGAAATTTGTGTTATGTCAGTATGTCTAATAAATTGTAATTAAGATAAAATTGTGAGACTGACTAACTAATTATGTATCAGATGGATCACCTTGTAATATTATGAACGCCTTCTCTGCAGGTTTTGACCACATCAATAAATATTGAATGCGTCAAAAGACGGGTTTCAATCATTCCCTTCGACTTGCCCGTAACCTGAACGTCCTTAACTAAGGCGTTTACATACATATAACATAAATGTTTATAGTACTGTACAGGTAAACCTCGATAAATGATGTCTCATTCAGTGATATTCCACTTTAACGATGGTCATGAATTTAAACCATCTTGCTATATATGATCAAAAAAATTTGCTTTAATGATATCCATTGAATATCCATCGCTATCCATTAATTTGAATTTTTCTTTTATCTCTAGTGCAAACTATAGTTTGTATACGTACACTCAAATTAATTGCTGTCTTGCAAGGATGCCAGCAATACAATTTATATTTTTCTATGTCAAGTCAGTGACATTTTATAAGGAAACAAAATTTTACCCTATGCACCACGCATCTCTCGCTGCATTTGTCAGCTGCAGTAATATCTACCTGTGCGGCGCCACGCGGTCAACCCGCGCACTACAGTCCTGCTCTCGGTACTTTATCAATCGCATCTTCCCACCATAGCGTAGCTCCATGATAATCATTCAGAATCGATAGCTGTACAGTATGTACATTTTGCTTATCGTTATTTTTTTGTAGTGAGAGGATAGCACTGTGTTACAGTGACCATGAAGTGATATTTTCTGTATTTTTGTGACTAAGGTGCTATGCCTTTGTTGTAAAAAATGATGTACTGTAGAGCAGTGTCGGCCACTATCATTGTCTTTATATTATCGTTTGCTCTGTTTTTGTGACTATGAAGTGTGTGGTGTAACTTTGAAAATGTCTGAGACGGCCAAGGCATCGTGAACAACCATGTCCCTGAGGTGAAGCTTGACATTGTGACACAGCACGAGACTCCCCAGAGGCTGTGTGGGAGTCAGAGTGACATCTTCACTCCACCAACAAGAGTCCCCTTAGCCTCAAAGGGGACATATTATAATGACCAGACTTGTTCTCCATGATGTGGTGAGTGTTATTTAATTGTTTCTATTGATTTTGTAAGTGTAAGAATTTTTTTGTTGGTGATACATGAGTGTTTGGGGACTGGCTGGGAACGTATCCCATTGAACCCCATGTTATAATGCTCCTGTAATGATTGTTTATTAGACCGTAGCTTACAGCCCAGAGAAGTACAACACATATGTAGATGTCCATGTGTACATCCTCGTAAGTTGACACACCCTACATTCCCTACAGTAATTAAGGTGAGATTAAGACCTGACCCAGAGTTCTCACCGCCACGCGATCTTGACTGTGTTGCTCAAGAAGCTAACCTCCAGGACCTGGGCAAACACAGCAGTCCAGACCTACCCAGTTAGTGTTAATTAAGAGAGGTCATCTGCCGGCATGTCTCCGCCAATATAAGGGGCCTACAGCTCCTTCCCAGGGAGAGACAGGACTCGGAAGAAGATAGGAGTCACGCTCGTCACAAGTCGAGGTTGGGAGGGAGACTTCCCTCCCCAGCTAGCCAAGTTTCCCACAGGAGACAAGAGTCCAGCAGCACCTGTAGACCTTCCCCAGCCCCTGGGCCTCCCTCAGGTCACACGTGAGTCATTGTCAGAGCGATCCAAGGGTGAGTTACTTACGGTGGGAAGTGTATCCATTTCATGTTTGTGTCCGAAAGTCATTGTCTATTAACATAAATATAATGATCTATTGATGTGTCCATACCATTGAGTTAACTAATAAATATCTGTACTAAAATTGGTGTTTAGAAAATTCCCCCTAAGAATATATATTAAGTTAAATAACTAACCCGCCACGCTACCAAACTTTCCTTACTTTACAATCCTACAACTATAAATTATTCCTTACTTGTAACTCTTAATTTACCCTAATTACACTCCCTATCTATGATATTTCACTTAGCGATGGCTTTTTTAAGAACCTAACCCCATCGTTTATCGAGGTTTACCTGTACATAAAACGAGAATGAATTCCAGTATTAATGAAACAATATCATGAAAAGTTACTAGGTACAGAAACTTGTGTTGAAAGTGTAATTTACATAAGCAGCAAAGTTCTGTAAATGCTATACATTATATAAAATTTGTAAAGGAGATTAGTGTTACAAAAGTAACTTACCAATGTGAATGAAGTTTTAAAGAGGCGGTCTAATGTTAATTACAATAGTTAAACATTTAAAGAAGAAATCTATGTTCATGTTAATTGGCACTGACCATTGTAGCAGACACACCAGCTGCTGGGGAAACTACCATGGTAGAGGATGGCGGCAGCACACCCAGGGCAGCAGAGCATGGAGCCATCAGGCGCCCGTGTGTAGTGGTCCGCAGGACATTGCGAACACCCAGACCCCTTCACACACCCACCTGCAAGGCAGCACAAGATCTTGTTAGGGCTTGGGGCATATTTTTCATAGCTTGACTATAAGTTAACACACTTCATGAAGTGGGCCATTATTTTGTGAACCTATCCAGTGGATTAATCCTAATTACATAAGAACATAAGGAGTCTGCAATAGGCCGGTTGTCCTGTGCATGGCAGCTCCTGTCGAGAGTTACTACCACTCTATCATCCATGAATCTATCTAGCCTCCTTTTGAAACTTTCCAGAGTTCCCGCACTTACTACAAAGTTGCTAAGCTTGTTCCACTCGTCCACCACCCTATTTGTGAACCAGTTTCTTCCTATCTCCCACCTAAACTTATCCAACTTGAATCCGTTGCTCCGAGTCCTATCCTGCTCGGATATTATAAGAACTTTATCTATATCCTCTTTATTGATTCCTTTCACCCACTTAAATACTTCTATCATATCTCCCCGCACTCTTCGTCTTTCTAGGGAATGCAAGTTAAGTTTCTTTGACCTATCCTGATATGGAAGGTTTCTAAGTCCCGGAATCATTTTTGTCATTCTTCGCTGCACCGACTCTAGTGAATTTATATCCATTCTATAATAGGGGCACCAGAACTGAACTGCATAATCGAGGTGCGGCCTGACTAGCGCAAGATATAGTTGCAATAAGACCTCTGCACTCTTGTTACTTACACTTCTAGATATAAAACCCAATACTGTACTCTGTTTGCCTTATTTCGAACATTAACGCACTGTTTTCTAGGCTGTAGGTCCGGGCTTACAAGTACCCCTAGGTCTCTTTCACAAGTCGACTTCTCTAGGTTGATGTTGTTAAGGCTGTATACATTATAAGTATTTGTTCTTCCAATATTAAGTACGCTGCACTTGCTGGTGTTGAATTTCATTTGCCATTTTTCAGACCACCCCTGCAGTTTATTTAGATCCTCCTGTAATGCATTTGCATCCTGCCCTGAATTAAAGGATAACCCATTTAAAATGTCTATAGGACTATCCATACAAACCCACCTATGCTGTAATAATATAGTCAGGGTAGGGGAGGTATAGCATAAACTTAAATTTTAGAGAACACGTACCAGTACAGTACATAAAAAAAATGATAAATTAAGAAACCCTTTAGCAAGACATAACATTAGTTCACCTGTACCAAACAACACCGTCAAATACCGTATATCAATATACTTTCTCTAAGTCGTAATGTTCAACAACACAGCACCATTTCAGGCCATGAACACGTTTGCATATGTCCCAGTTATCGATAACATAGTCCGTTAACTTAAGGTTCACCCTGTAGCTCATGTGGTCCATCGTAACAACACTTCATTAGACGACAAACACATGTATTGGAGGATGCATGGGACGCCTCTAATACCATTCAACTCCCACCCCCAACGGGCTTGTTCCCAGGGGGGTTCTGAAGGGCATATGCCCTCTTAGACACATGGGTCTGACGGTACATTATCATTTTTCAGTCTACATAATTGAAATTTCCAGTTATCAATGACGATAGACAGAACTGTATATTACTTAATTTACTGTCTATCCTCAAGCCAAATATTGCACCTACATGGAAATGTATGTGTGGCAGGGTAGGGGAGGGGGAGATGGGTGAGACCTGAGCAGAATATTTTCTAGACTGTATTCACCCAAGCACCGACGACTGCTTAAGACAATATTAGTGAATATGTGCCCTCAGAGTTCCAGGCTAAAGTTAGTTGATTTATGCAAAACTTGTTGGGTTGCTCGACATGATGCTTTAGAGGTATTTGGGGAGCTGTTGTTGAAACTGCAAAATATCATGAGGATAGAGACAATTTCTAAAGCAAAATCACTGTTCCTTATAATTATACCATTTAAATTTTAGGTGTCATTTACTGTGTGTCACAATGCACTTCGTTATATAAAATCCTTGAGTGCAAACCTTCAAAGATGCACTATTGACATCTGTACAGCTATGTCAGAGATAAACAGCTCGTCAGTGGCAAAGAGGATAAAAGTAAATTCAAATGGTAATGTTTATCAAGTTGGTGTCACTTGGTACACGGAAGCTGTTGCCTTAGCTGAATAAGTCGATGCCCATAAACCATCAATGCCTTATCAAAACTGAAGGCAAATTAGTAGGTCTAACATGCCAGTGTTTTCCCATAGAATATTTCCATCGCACCATCACCATTCCTTTAATTAACCATTTGCTCTGTGACCTCGAAACTCGTTTCTCACTAGCTTAACAACATGCTGTTCTGAGGTGCTCTCTTATTCCGTCTTTATTAATGAATGACTCAGAGTGAAGGAAAGGGGGTCTGAAGTACAGAGAGTCAAAGGTCAGTGATCCTACTTTACTCTATCCTCTTTGTCACGAATTGGCCCATTACCCACTTGGGCATTGTTGGCAAGTACCCTGCATGTACTGGTTCCAGGATGTATCCGTACTTGCGCCAGTGTTCGTTAAGCTTGGTCTTGAAAGAGCTCACATTCGGTGCTGTCACAACACTGGCAGGTTTTTCCAAGAGTTCACAACACACTCTTTAAAAAAATTTGCCCTGACAGTTTTCTGAACCTGTGGCTTCTTCAACCTTAAGCTGTGACCCCTAGTGGGACAGGCATCCGCCAGCTCAAGGCATGAACACTCGACTGAATAATGTCCTTTGATGTGTTTATAAACTTCTATTAAGTCACCCCATGCCTGCCTATAGTATAAGCTAGGCAACTGCAGGTGACCCTCCTTTGAAAGTTTTCAATCAACTGACAGTCTCTAGCATACTAGCATATCTCGGGGACCAGGCAGGATGGCAGTACAGTACAATACTCCAAACGGGGAAGCACCTCACTTAAGAAGAGCATTACGAGAGAATGACTATCAAGTATTGGTCCGAGAACTTCAGTTCATTGTCAACATATACACCCAGGTCCTTGATCACATTTGGTCTCTGTTAATGGTGTTTCTTCATCATGTTGGGACATGTGATACGCCTCATTACTGTTGGTATGACCTAGGTGCTTCCTCATGCTTCTCATGACGTTGAATCTTAACAAACCTTCCTTTAACCACTCGTGTAACTGAAAGAGACCTTTGTGTAGCTCTTCACAGTGCGTTTGGTTCCTTGAATAAATTGACATCATTCAGTAACATTTGTATGGAAGAGTGTATAGCTTCTGGTATGTCATTATTGGAACAAACAAAGAACGGTTCCAATACACTGCCCTATGGTACCCCACATGCCATGAATACACATGTGAATTTTGTGCCATTAATCACCACACACTGCTTGTGGTCACAAAGTAAGTCTCTGATCAAGGCTAGGACACACCCCCGAATTCCGTACCCATCCGGTTTAATTTTCATTCTTTCACTGTCGAAAACCTTGGCAAAGTTCAGATATATATAATTGATATTGTCACCACGCTTCAGGATCTGGGTCCAAACATCCAGCACCTTAAGTAATTGCGTCAAGCAGGAGTGTACTGGCAAATAAATATTTGGGCAGTCCTTTACTAAGTTGTTTTGTAGTAAATGTTCCATCATGGCACATCTTATAATGCTCTCTAGTACTTTACACACTTTGCTGGGTATGTTATGTTCATCCCTGCATCTGCAGAACAGGATTTTAAGTGGGTCACCAAGATTGTTACACAACTCTATTAGCACTCTGGGGTACACGCTGTTGGGGCCCGGGCTCTTATGAACCTTTAGCTTTGAAAATTTGTTCCTAATACGCTCCTGATAACATAATGTGCATCAGCGCTGTACCAAACCATCTTTCCTCAATTGCAGGGAAATTGTTCACATCCTCTCCTGTGAAAACTGATGACATTTTTTTTAACCTCGCTTTGTCCTGAACTGAGTCTGCATAACTACCATCAAATATCAAATCTAATATGAGTACAATGAAAGACAAAAGTCATGTCGTGAAATTTGGTGAAAACATAGGCTGAAGGGCTAAACTTTTGGTGCGCTCTGCCTTGTGGTAGGGGGCTCTCATAATGTTTCAAGAGTTATATTTAATCTTCGGACAAAACCGCGACACGACTTTTGTCTTTGAATGTACATGTGTTTTTAATTATGATTTTGTGTAATGGTAGAAAGCCTTTGGGTTTGACTTTACCTCGCTTGCTATCCACCTCTGCAACTCTTTTTCGGACCTTCTACACTTTGACTGCTTGGTTCCTGGACCTGGCATACACCCATATGTCCTGTTCATCATTTGTCGCAACTCCTCTCTCACATTTATGAAATTTCTTCTTAACTTTGTCAACCACTAAGTGGTTCTTGTGTAAGTTCCCTCGTATACTGTAGCTATATTTATCAGTCATATACTGCATTACAGGGTAGTATCCAATTTCTTGTTTACCAGAAAGTCAGGCCAGTGAATACCCCACATCTCCTCCCTCATCCTGTCGTAATTGCCACTGTAATATTTGAACCTTGGCCTGCTCTTACCATGTTAAATCTGAAGGACAACGTCACATGATGGCTGGTGCCACCGGGGGCTAGATATTCCAGCAGTTTGGGTGTTTGTTCTCCTGTAGTATAGGGAGTCGAATATTTCACATGTTGGAATAGAAAATTGTCTCATAGTTTCTACAAAAAGATCAGCAGGATTATTAAGGTCATTTGGTGTAGTTTCATTCCTCCAGTCGACTTCGCCATATTTAAAGTCCCCCATGACAAGGAGGTGACTAGGGTTTAGTGCCATTACATTTGTCTACTAAGACCCAGATGGATTATATTAGATTTATTAGTTGACATTTAGGATATCTGGTAATGTTCAATTGACAGCACAATTTTGTAGACTGAAGAAAGATAATGTTCATTCAGTAAAATCGTTATATATGTTCACATTGATTCAATATGTCCACTTCAGAACTATAAGTCGTGGACAGCCGCACGGAACCTAACACTAGTGACTCCTGACAATGAGGAAAATCATAAGTTAAAATTATAAAATATATATATATATATTTATATATAATTAGAAGTTTAAGTTTATAAATAATAATTATAATAAAATACTACCTGTATTATAAAAATCTCCTGCGGTTAAGTATACCCCAATTGCAGTTAAAGTTTCTCATTACCCGGGGTCACTACAGTGTAGGTTCCGTGCGGCTGTCCTCAAATCAAGACTAGTCCTCAAGTGTACAGTAACACACACACACTGTCTGCCCACCTGTGTTAGATATGTTTGTAATGAACATAATGTACAGTAGTTTCGGTTCGGTTGGTATTTCTGATTGTGAGTTGCACCTGCGAATAACTGATAACTATGATAACCAAACCTAAACTGCTGTACATTATGTTCATTTCCAAACACATCGGACCCAGGTGGGCAGATGGTATTTTCCTTTTGTGTAGATAGCGCAGTATGCAACCAATATACATCGCTCGCATATTACAAACTTTTTTTTACGAAGACAGTGCAGGTATATGAAAATGGAGTATAGTTATACAATATACAGTTGCCTTAAAGATTCCCCTTACCCTGTGGTGATGTTTACATAAATGTGGCAGGGTCGCAAACTTATGAATGAATGGGTAGTAGCACTATATGAGGGTGGAGCACTGTAATATTTGTTTTTCACAATCGTCTAGCCAGACGATTTTATTCTGGTTAACGCCAGATGATTTTATTCAGCTTAGAAAGGACCTCTGCTCCCTTAAAGGTTGACTCCTTAATAAGGTTCATCTATATTTTTTAATCACAGATTGTATAATGAACAACATATTGGGGCATAAATTGCTCATATAGAATTATTGGATTTCAAGGGTAATACAGTAGTATAATATCTGCCAAGTGATTTACGAAGTGGGTTACAAATATTAGGACAGACTTGATGTAGACTTTTCTCAGTTAAAACAATTACCAGATTTACACGGCCAACAAAATCATAAACGTTCATAGTAATAATTATAAAACAACTCAAATCGGTAGGAACAGGTGGTTTTGTTCTCAAGAAACCTCTCACGTATGAGATACCCAATATAAGTCATTTAATGAGGTTGGAGTGAAGGGTTGGGGGGAGGGGGTCTACCGGTGTGGGGTGACTGACCCAACTGAACTCGTGGCTATCACCGCTAGGCTGTCCAAGGCCTCCTCTAACCCATATATCCACATATTCATATTTATATATCTTATTCCTTTCACCGTTTCATTGCTTTGTATTATTACTATATTATATCATGCACGAATTTTTTCCACATATGATTTCTGAGGGTTTCAATTCTTTGAACCATTCTAGGATCTATTGCGTGATACACCAAGGCACCAGTGTCCCTGTGTGAAGACCCTCCCTGGTTTGTGATTATCATGAATTTCAGATTTCCTTGAATACATTTTATTTTTAAAGCCTTATCACTCATATTGATATTCTTCCTTATTAGAAACGTGTATTATTTATACTCGTACAGTATTGAGTTTATACTCCAACATATATTTATCATTATTGTAACACAGGTAAATTAAGTGTAGAAAGTATAGGGAGAATATTTAGTTGTTGGATTGTAAAGTGAGGAAGTCTGGTAGCGAGGCCGTCTAGTTATTTAACTATTAATATATTCTTAGGGGAAATATTTCAAAACACCAACTCTAAGTACGGCTATATATTATTCAACTCAATGGCATGGACACATTAATAGATCATTATATTTACACTACTATACAATGACTCGGGCAACAAACATGAAATGGATATACTTCCCACCTTAAGTAACTCACTCTAAGCGATCCATTAGAGTCTAATGGATCGCTCTGACAATGACTCGGGTGTGACCTGAGTGAGGCCCAGCGGCTGGGGAAGCTGCAGCTGGACTATGTTTCCTATGGGAGACTGCTAGCTGGAGACTCGGTGCTGGGGAGGGAAGTCTCCCTCTAGGAAGGAGCTGTCGGCCCCTTCCCTGTTACAATAATAATCCGAATGCCTCGTGGAAGGAGCTGCAGGCTCCTTATACTGGCGATGGCAAGCCGGAAGATATCGTCACTGATCTGAGTGTGTCTGGCCAGGTGATCGGTGTACTAGCTGGAGGGTAGCTTCTTGAATAACTCGGTCATGTCGCCGGGTTAGCTAATGACGCGGCGGAAAGAACTCTTGGCCAGTGTGTTTCCCCAGGTGCCTGGTCATGTCGCCAGTCGGTAATGCTTCCTAATTATTACCACCCGGGTGTGTCTTGTCCAGGATTAGTTTCTTTAACACGGTCATAACGCCGGGTTAACTCAGGTACCCTGAGGCCGTGACCTCTCTGGGGTCAGGTCTTACTGTCACTTCTTTTTTTTTCTTTTTTTACGGGAATTAGCCCACCCGGGCACAGGTCGAACGACCCACAGCGGGGACTGGGGGGCGAAAAAACAAGAACAGAAAGAAATTAAAAAAGAGAAGAAAAAGGTTATACTGTGTTAATCTACAACACGAATATGCCAGAAAACCAGCCTTTTATAGTGAGACAGATTGTATAAGTATGGAAACACAGAAGAAGACAGAGCATTCCACAGTTTGGCTGTGTGAGGAAAGAAGGGTGTTCTATAACGGATTATTCTAGTGTGACCGACATCCACAGAGAAACGGTGGGCACCGTGGGCTAGACGTGTGTTACGAGCCCACGGCCTTGCCGGCGGTACACAGGATGCCAAATCCACCGAACATTGCCCGTTAAAGTACTTGTAAAAGAGAGAGAGAGAGAGAGTGAAGCAACATTCGGGCGAAGAGAAAGGGAAGAGAGATAGTCGAATAAAAGAGGAGAGTTAATAAGACGAAATGCCTTTGATTCCACCCCATCTAACAGTTGGACAGAAGAAGAGCCACCCCAGATATGAGAGCAGTACTCCAAGTTAGGACGAATGAATCCCTTATATACTTGAAGCAACTGCTCAGGAGTGAAGTAGCTACGGCATCTGTACAGCATTCCCAACTTTCGGGAGGCAGCTTTAGCTATGTTAAGGATGTGTGATTTCCAGGACATATTGGAGGAAACGGTGAGGCCTAGCATATTTATTTCAGAATTTGACAGAATGATAGCGTCCTGAAATGTAATTAGGGGGGGGGAGATCATCTAATTTAGAAAGTGTAATTGGTAAATAATGAATTTAATTAATATTGAATTTAACCAAGTTTCTGCCTCCCCATTCGGAAATGCTGCACAGATCTGCATTGATAGAAGTCATGATATCAGCTCTAGGAACAGATCTAGTTTGAGAGTTAGGAGGAAGGGGAAGAAGAGTGAATAGTAGAATCATCAGCGTAAGAATGGGTAGAATTAGTTGTAGTGTGAAATAAATCATTGATAAAAAGAAGGAAGAGAGTAGGTGAAAGAACAGAACCCTGTAAGACACCACTCTTGGTAGAGAAAGAGCGAGAGATCAAGCCCTCGACAACAACTGCCATATTGTAGTATTACTGATACGTAATTTGTCTTAGTATGCCTTATTGTGGGTAAAAATAAGTGTATTAAATGCATCCTCCGAAAGCGTCAATTTGCTACCAGAGTTTAACAGTTAATTCATGTATAAGATTTCTGATAAACTGCGTGCTTATGTTTGAAATAATAAATGAATGTATCTTTATATAATTTAGATAAATGTCTTTCCCGTCAGAAACGGTCATCCAAACGATTATTAATAAACTCATTTAGAAATACATCATTACTTCAGGACAAAATCGGAAGGGTTTGCAACAGCGAATCAGCTGTGACTCTTGAGGAGGGGGCGGGGCGAGGCGAAATCATGATAGTAATTTTGATTTATCATTTCACCATTTATCTTACTAGCCGTTTGGTCTTTTTTTTTATGAACATTATTGCCCAGTGTTAGTACAGTAAGAAACCGGAGTATCTGGAGGAAACCTACGATGTTTGGATAACACCCTACGCACCTTAACCATTTGTTGTTATTGAAGAATTCATAGGGACGTTATAAAAAGAAATTGGCTAAGACGTTGGAATGGTCAAGAGTCTCGCTCCTGCCCCTCTAGCACACCAGACAGCTGACCCACTACCCCTACCTTTGTGGGTGGGGTGGTGGGTCATTGTCAAAGGTCAAGGTCAATATACAGTAACTGATGAACTGGCTCTGCTATACTGGGCACAGGCGTAGACGGAGGTTAGAGTGGAAAACTTTAAGTAATGCCTGGATACGTCACGCGAGTAGAGCTGTATCGACCAGAGGAACTACGGTATGTCAACAAGAATACTTACTGCTAAGTTTGAGCTGTTCGGCCCGTGTGTGGTCCACCCTGTGTGCCAAGATGACCACACACAATAAGAGCAAGTAGCGTAGGGCACCACACCTCATACTTGTACGTGAACTTTCTACACACCTTAGTTTGTCATGAAAGCAGTAGTACATACTCAGAGCAATTCCTTTATACGGTTATAAAGGGAAAGTGTCAAGCTTATCTGACATACTGTAGAAGTACACTAACGATAGTAAAATCATTAATTCACGAAGTAACACAACGTACTTTCGGTGAATCTCTTGTCTACACTCGGGGAAATCCACCCAACGCATACCAACACGACCGAGAGAAGACTAACGCGGACACGAGCCACGAGGTTGTTTTTGTGGTACGTGGCTGCCCCACATCGAGCCTTCAGTTGCCACATGCTAATTTCAATTACGCGAATATGTATACAAGTCCACACACTTAAACTCATTTATTTCATAATTCCATAACTCCTGTAAATATATCTAAAAGCGACCTAGAACAGTTATTAGATTTGTATCAACAGGTACAAGTAGTAATAATATCCATAAACACCCTACATGGTAGCACATGTTGAGAAACATGAAGAATGAATTGGCTTGAATCGGCTTTTCCCACCTCCTTTCATAGTGTGCAGTGACAAGTGTTCACTGACTTTAAGCATAAAGGGAATCACAAGCAGCGATTACTACATAATGCATTTCTCAGTGCATGTACCTGTATATGAAGTAACCAGCATAAACAGCGTTAACCCCTTGTGTGCGAGGTCTCTCTCTGCTGAATAAAACCATTAGCCAAATAAATTATTAAAGACGAAGTTACGTAGTAAAGGGGTTAAACAGTCGTGTCGCAGGTAAGTGTCCACTTGGGTTGGAATATTAATATATTTAGTAATACATAATAAAGTGAGTAATGTACATTGGACGAGTCGTCAGGTCTGTAACCAGAGCCTCACTTTCACCTCTTTCTTCGTGGATGGAGGCTATTCTCCTTCCTTCACGCTTATGGAGTCTATACATATCTTATAACACCCATGAGGATGCTTCCATAACAATGAAAATAGTGGAGTATTGTGTGTCGGTGGTATCGCGCGTATCTTTCATCTTGGTCATGGGCCAACATGGGAAGAGTCACAAGGGTGTTGTTATCCACTCCAAATATCATGTTTCCTTCGGATATTTTAATAAGGGAAACAGCCAATCCATGTTTTATTTTCTATAACTTGCGTAACCAGTTTTAAAGTAAAATAGATATAAAAATGGATAGGTTGTAAATTAAAAAGTGAGCGGCGCGTCCCCAACTTAATGATGTACGCGCACAAATTGTAACAACAATTCCAATTATATATAATTTGAGAACATTTAGTTATCCAAATAATATTTAAAGATAAAATGTATTACAAACTATAATTGTATAGTGATTTAACCTTACTAAATATAATTTAAGTATTGATTGGTTATAAACGGCTGCAAAATACGTTGAGTGAAAATTACCTTTTTCACTGTAAATTCACTAATTACAATGGAATTACAAAACAAAACTACTAAGTTATCCCTGAAGCAAGTCTATCGTATTTTAGGTTTAAACGGACGATTATCATAAAATGAATAATAAGCCGGCAGTACACCATGTTTAGACACACATTATGGAGGATGATAAGTGAGGCACGCGTGCCAACATTCACCTCCTATACAATGACGTCACAATGCTCCCATTATATGACCACAACAATAACCCGACACACGTACACAACAGAGCCGTGTCGACATCCGGTAACTTCCGCTGGACTTGGGTCACGTGCCATAATGACTATTGCCAAGTATGAATACTGTTATTATGCATCGATATGATTATTTGTAATTAAGAATGTTCTAATTATACATCGGTCTAGAACACGTCTAATTATATCCCCGACCGAATTTGCGGGATCATCATCTCCCTCTACGAGTCCCATGTCTTTAGTTACCTTTCGTGTGAATGCAAACACTTTTATGGGGTTTACAGCTTTTCTAGAAAACTGACACGGACCTTGGTTTCCCTGATCAATACCAGTTATAATTCGACTGAATATTAAGATAACGGATATTTTTAACTTCAGTCATATGTCCTCCAACTGTCATTTTCACGTGTACTACTCCGTTAAAGTGTGAAAGAAAACTGGTACCTGTTGTAAGTGTTGGGTCGCAGCAAATGTAATATCTTTTCGACAGTGTGCGATTTTATTCATGCCGGGAAATCATTTATCAAATACACAGACAAAAAACAGGTATCGTAGTTTAGCACGTACTGAATTTTTTTATGGTTAACATTGTAGGCTATTGTTCAGTATTCTTGTACAGTTAAAAGTTCGTTATTATGTGCTCGCTCGACCCGGAACCTGACCTAAATTACCATAATACATCCCTAAAAATAATCTGACCAGACCTAATACATCCCTAACGTAACATAGCCTTACCTATCCTCACCTAAATTAACCTAATACACTTCTAGAAATAAACTAACATGACCTAGATTAACGTAGTACCGTACATACCTAAAATAATGTAATCTAACCTATTTTTAAGTAAATATGTGCTTAAAATAATGCTTTCTAACCTAAAATTGCCTGCGAACATTATCTAACCTAACCCAGTATGACCTAATACAACCCGAATATAACCTAGCATGACCTATACAGCCCGAATATAACCTAACCCCATTACTTCTTATTTATTTACTAGAATGAGATTTACCTACAAGTTGGTGTCAGACCCGAGTGTCCAGATCTTTGTTCGTGTGATAAAAATTGGCTCAAAATCGGGCAGTTTGCTAGGTTAGCCATTTTCTGCTAGATTTAGACGATTTTTGCTACATCTAGCCAGAAAATATTACATCTAGCCGATAGCCGAAAACCCACAAGGTTTGGCTATTTTCTGGCCATTTTTTTTAATTAAATATTAATATGAATTTGTTGATTTCACTTCATTTCAGTTTTAAAGTTATTGAATATTCTATCTCTAAAGTTATTGAATATTCTGTCCAATGGTTAAAGATGAAAACACATTTTGGTATCGCAAAATCGTCTGAAAGGTGCTATACATCAGAAATTTTACATGCCATGAGGAGTATCTAGAACCAAAACTGTATCTTCGTTACGAAATTGAGAATTTTTTTTTCAGAATTGCCAGTGCATTTGTCTGTGGAGCGAGAGCAAAACTTTCGGGAACGAAGCTCTAAATTTTTTATAAGTCTCATCAAGCAACTTCGCCAGATTCCCAGATAATGTACGAATATTGAAAACAATGTCACTGTTAAGTGTCTCAAATGCTTTGCGTGTAGTAAAAAACTCCATTACCCCTCTTCTAGAATCTTTAAGTGTTAGTGCAGAAGACATACCAAAAATTTATCTCCGGTGGTCAAATATTACACTAGTAAAATGGTGTGAAACCCAGGACACGGTAAAATTTTGGGCTGAAGTCCGCAGGTACAAAGATACTTCAAACTTGAATCCTTTACTAGAATTGTCATCAGCTGCAATAACTATCCTAACTTTGCCACACTACAATTCAGAAATCGAGTGTTTAGTCAAATAAACTTGGTTAAGAGCAAGCTAAGGAATAAAATGAAAACAGACACCATTAATGCATTACTTGACATTCACTATGGCAGGGGTGGCCAACCTTTTGTGTGATGTGACCTACGTTTTCCACAGTTACCCTGACGCGATCTACCAGCCTAATATTCACCCATTGTTATAAAATACTCCTCAATATCGAGTCGACTTTTTCATTACCAAATTCATTAATACAAGGTTTAACGTGTATTTGTAATCTTATAAAAGCAAATACCTGCCTAGTTTTAGCCTACAACTGATGACAACTTGCTGATCAGTTTCCTCACCAGGAACCAGCCAGCACCGGCCCGTATGAACGCGAACACTTCCTATCAGGTTACGCCACACACAGCATGGCACAGTCGAAGTTTTTTTTGTATGTATCGCTCTGATGTGTCCATAATGATAATCTATTCCCAGAAAAAAAAATCTAAACAAATATAATATCCCAATGATTATGAGTAAAATTTGCCTTGCGATCGACTAGAGAAGACGCGATCGCGATCGACAGGTTGGCCATCCCTGCACTATGGCCTTAAAAGGATGTCAGAAACTTGCGTAACATATGACTTTCCAAATGATGTTCTCGACCTTGTAACCTCAAGTCATAAGTATGAGCAGTCAAACAAAATTGCATCAGACAAGCCTTTAACATCGTCCACTGATGAAAATGACGATGATGTGCTATACATTATATTACAATATGTGACTAAATAAAAGGTAAGAAAAGAGCTAGTATGGAATACATTCATTAAAATACGCAGTTTTCTTCAATTTCTATTTAAATATGTATGCACTGAAGAGGTAGCCACATTGTTTTCAGTTTAACCAGTTTCTAGCCATTTTTTACGCTTGGTATAGCCGATTTTGCGGGGAGCCATCTGGCAACACTGAAATCGGGTAGGTTAATGACATTGGTACCTGCACTCACAGCAGGTTAATGGCGCTATTTCCTTTACTCCAGCTTTGTAATAGAGAAGGTTAATGGCGCTACCATCTGCACTCAGCTCTGTATATTAGTTATTGCACATTACTGCATACAAAATCTTGATCTACCCAATGTTTGTCCAGTTGTTTCTCGGAAATCAGTGTTTGGAGAGCCTTCAACCAGCTGTAATGTGAACCTCATAATTACTATTCAGGTAGTTCATCCGGGCTGGCGTGTCAGGAGAAAGCTGTTAGTTGTGTCCTACTGGTGAAAGTTATGTACAGTAATACCCTGGTGGTGTGACTTCATTTATTATTTACAGGAAGCTTTCAAGCGTCAAATAAAAAAACTGACACAAAAACCTACATCAGAATAATTTGTTCCATGTATATTACTTGGCTTTGCTTTCATGTGCATTTATGTGTGTCTGTACATATACGCGTATGCTTTTGTTACTATCTACAGTATATGTACTGGTGAGGTGTTCGAGTGATTACAGTGCTTACTGCCGTTATATTGTATTTAAACGAGATACAGTAGTACGAGGTAGATAATTTCATTGGTATAAGAGTGCTTTCATCTTATTAAGTTGCGTAGACGTAACTTATGTTGGGAGCCAAGTCTGACCCTGACACATTGAGGGAGTTGTTTAGGGCGGAGGAAGGGGGGGGGGGGTTATTAACAACTATTTTTATTTTAAAGACTTGTCTTCCTTTACAACATCAGACGAGCTAATGTGCGTGTTTATTGTGAATATAAACAAAAACATAAAGATTCACAAGTGAATTGATAATAATAACAAAACAATTAGATTCTTTAAAGTGTTTTTTTTCCTGTGGCCTTGCAGGTATCACTGCTCTTGTACCTATAACTGTACTTTTGTTTCTATGGTATTCTTTGAAATTGTAAGTTAAATTATTCATGATCTCCCTGCAGCAGTGGATACTAGGCCGTTTTATATCGCACTTAAAATTACTTGTTTATATCGTCTCATCAACTAATGATAGGATTATCTTGGATTCGTATATTAAATTTTGCCCATTAATGTGTGAAAACGCATCTAAATGGTTCTTTTGACTTGTGGCACTAGACATGGCCACCAAAATACTGTACAGTACAGTATCTAAATTGCCATTGGACCCACGAGGAGGGGGGAGGGGGGGGGGCGGATTTTACTTAAAAATCTTTGAGAATCCTGGTTCAAATGGGTAGATCATCATCCAAAGTTGGGATTCGGAATACTCACCGGGATCCCCTTCCCTCCATAGGTTTTCTAGCTGGAAAATCGAGAATTCTAAAATATCCAAAAAAATATTTGCCCCTAAAAATAACTCCTGCTCTTCTTCGTTATACAGCAACAGCATCCTAGTAAACCACACCTTAAATGTTATATTTAAAGACTAAGGACTGCTATTATAACGTTAGGTTACAATAAATTAATGGGCAAAAGTATGAAGGGAATTCCCATCAGGCTTGGAGGAAGTGATGAGGATATCCTGGTCTTTGTTGACACGAGAAGGCCAATGTTGACGTCACGTTGTGCATTTTGTCTACACATTGCGTAAAGGCAGTATAGACATAATATGAGTAACTGACTGTTCCTTCATAATCCATGATTTAAACACAGCTTTTTTGTGGGCTCATTTTCTATAATTCTTGTAGATGTTTATGCCCATTACTGGACACTTTTTTATTTTCCTGACCTTGTCTGTCTTTCACTATTGCCAGTGATGCCAAGTCTACCAAACATCATTACATGTCATATAACTTGTTTACATATGTCACAAGTCAAATCTGCATTAGTTATCAACTATGTGAACCCCTTTGGGTGTCATATAAAAAAATACAGTACTGTATAGTACCTGCAATTTTGATAGGTCAAAGGTAAAGGTTACAATGACACGCAAAAAATTATTCCACAAACTACTGGATAAAATCACTTGAAATTTTTATGTAGAATCTTTGTAGGACCTTTCATTGGACCATAAAAGGAAAACACAAGCAAACAGAGTTAAATGACTAAACAACATGGGGTTTCCCACTCTAATGGCAATAGCACATTTAGGGTAAGGTACAATATGCCATTTTTCATTGCCTTGTTTTAATGACCTTTCACTTATATAAACAGCATGTAATGGGATAGAAACCCTTACCCATAAATCCCAGATTTCATTGACATTAGACATAGGAAGACAGTTTTCAGGGGGAAGGGGGGGATCTACTGAGGGAGTTTCCATGGTATTACCACTTTATCCTCAGGGTAAATGCCTATAAACCGCATTCTAGATAATACTGTACTTCTATTTTTAGTTAATTGAAGCAATTATCTCTTAATCACATCTACATGATTTATGGTGCTACATACTTAAACTTGGGACCTAAGGAAGAGAAATATGGAGAGATTATTGCACATAAACACACTTGGATTTATATAAATACAGTACAGTATTATTATTATTTTTTCTACAGGAAATAGAATTCATAATCAGCTGAATAAAAATCTGTACAGTATTGTAAAATTGCCGATTTTCATACAAGCTCGAGAAATAATTCCTCTTTACAGTATATACCAGTACTGTACAGTACAGTCTTAAAAAAATTTCACAATTACAACACTAGTCTCATGCAATATATACTGTATACAGAATGTACTCTCACAATAAATATAACAAGCGTTCTTCAAAAGTAGTGTTATACTGTACTAAAATTACATAAAAAAAGTTGTTGCATTATAACTACAAGTTTATCATTTAAAATTGCAACATAATTATGAGTATCACTGTGTGACTTTCCAATAAACCATGTACTGTACCGTACAGCCCCCTCAAAAGTATTGTTGGCCATGGGGTCGATGTTATTCGAGGCTTTCCGAGCAATGCTTCTCGACCTGTTTCTGAACAGCTGGTAGTTTTACATCCGGGACCTTAGAGCATGAATGAGTATACAGTACTGTATCCTCTATGTTTTTAAACAATACATGCATTAATATAGCTCAATGGATTTCTTGTGATATTGAGTATCTAGTATGCCATACAAGGACATCTCTCTCCCCCAATCCTACCCCCATATCTAGTTGTTGCTGATATGGCAAAGACGCACTGGGGATCATATCAAACTATTTCGTCTAGCAGTTCAAATTGTAGCAACAGAAAATCTAACTGTACATTCTCTGCAAGATTTTTTAATGGGCATTAGGGAAAAGGTGCTACAGTAATGGCGGGAAACATTAGGCGTGAAATTTAAAATACTGTAGTGTGTATTTCCATATGATGTGCCAGACTGACTCGCATAAAATAGGAAAGATTCACTTTAAATTAATACATTGTCCTTAATTGTGGGTGTCGCTTTAAATCAATAATTTTAAATTGAATCGCTTTAAATCAACGTTCCACTGTACACAATGCTTTCCAAATTTTCATGAAGATCTCATGAATGCTTGTGTTACAGCAGCAACATTGTACTCAACATAACAACAAGTGAGGATAATGTTTATTGTAAAACAAGCGTTCATACATTCTCCAAAAAAAAAATCAGTAAAGCAGTGCATAATTTTTTCTGATACCCTATATTATTCTAACACTTAGGTCTTAGCTAACCAATCTTCCTTAGGGGTTGCTATAATGATGGATGAATGCTTTACTTCTTGGTATAGGTATTAATATTCAGGCATTTCAACCTAAAGCAACTCAGTCTGTATTGCAACCAGGTATACTGGATGTACAGGTTATGCCCAGATAGCTATACAGTACCAGTACTGTATATTTTTAACATCTACAAGGTATTCAATAAATCAATGAAAAAATCCTTAATATATTATTTTAATTCAAAAAGAACTTTACAAAGCACACAGGATGGAAAAAAAATATATTATGAGTCTCCAATTCAAATGCTGTACAGGTATCGTACCCCAAAAACCAACGCTCTCAATAACCCCTGCTTCATATAACAGTACAGTATGTCTGCTTTATTTTCTTGCTTGACAGTGTGCACCACAAAGATATGTATCAAGGGTAGATGGGGGAGTTTTTGGAAGGTGGCCATTCCTTAGCCTCCTGAATTAACGTTCGTATGGGATTAGTTTCTTTGATAACCGTTGATTCACTAACCAACGACTTTTCCTGGTCCCTATATTCATTGATTATCAGGGCACAACTGTATTACATTACATTGTATCTCTGCAATATGAGAAATATTGTATAAGATTATCAACAGGTCAGTACGTACTGTACTGCACATACAGTACTGTACTTTTAAATTAAACTTATTACCAGCACTATATAAGCTGTCCTTACCTCTGGCCAAAATTAAATGAAGAAGACCCATTTGGAGCTGAAGTATGTTCACGTGCTAAAGAGGCATTTAAACGTCTCAAAGCCTTTTTGCTGAGGACCTTCTTGGTCAATCTGTCTCTTCCTGTCATCTTCCTCAAATCAGTCAGATTTTCATATTTGCGCTTACGTTTTTGTTTCCCTTTAGGCACTTTTAGATCAATACCTGTAGCTGCTTTTAATTCTGCCAAAAGTTGTGGGTCCTGCCAGGCAGGGTGGTCTCTCTCATACCTTTCACGAGCTGCATGTTCTTTAGCAGCATCCTCGGGACGGAGAGGTTTGCCAGCTTCATCACGGGGCACAATTGGTCCATGAAGAGGGCACTTCTCTCTATCTTGACGAGGACATAAACGACCAGATGTCAGTGGAGCTCGACAAGTCCATTTTATAGGTTCCCAAGCCCGTTCATAATTCACTCTCTGGGTTGCCACTCCCAGTACACCACCTGTATTCTGGATTTCTTCCTGTTCATGCAAGTCTGGTGTTGCTGTCCACACCTGACTTAGTCCAGCAAGTGGATTATGAAGACGTTTAAGTGTAAAGTTGGTTTTACCGAGATATTCATCTGGGCATCTTATGGTCTGAGACTTTTTCTTAGCCTTAACTGCTTCATTTTTTGATTGTTGTCCGTAAGTCTGAGATACACCCGAAGTTGATGGTTGAGTTGTTAAATCATCAGACTGAAAGTCAAATGTATTCCAGGATGATCTATCCATACCCAAGAGCACTACTTCTGAAGCTGCTGCACTTACTACTCGTGGATCATCAAAAGGCACCTCTATAAAGTCATCATCATCATCACTATCAAAATCAACACTGACTGTGGGATGTGGTTTTTCTTTAGGTATGATTTTCAGAGACTCAAACATTTTGACAGCCTGCCCAACCAATTGTTTTAGTTCAAGAATATTCTTGATTAAGCTTCCATTTCCCTCACTATAAGGTCGCATGGTTTGCTCCCATCTCTTAACTTGGGGCAAAAATTTTGTGTTCAAAATTTGTACATGCTCTTTGAGGTTCTCTATCACAACCTCATTATCAGGAGTTTCCTGAATTTTTCTAACATCTTCCAAATTAATTTGAATGCTTGTTCCTTTCATAATACCATGACCACGCATGAACTCTGAACCATACTCAATGTCTTTGTCTTCCTCCTCACTTCCCTCAGGAAGAAACCCCTCGTCCTTAATATTTTCTTCACCATGAATGAATCCACCTTCCTGACAGGAGGGTTCTTCATCATTAAAGGCAATGAAAAAGTCATTAACATCTGGAATTAGAAGTTTGAAACAGTTCTGAAACTGTACCACAAAATCCTTTATTTCTGATGAGCTTTCTTCCAGTTCATTGTTAATCTTTACTATCTTTTTTCTCTTTATTTCATCAAGTCTTCGCCTCTCTTCTTCTGCTCTTTGGCGTTCTGCCTCAGTTCTGGCTGTCAATTCCGCAAAATCAACTTTTTTACAATCTCGTAAATAATTATAGGCCAATTTCAGTGTTACGTAACCGTCACTAAAATTGTCGTACCAATATTGAATAGCCTCAACACTTTTTTGTTTAAGGTTCTTGGCGACTGCTTCAGGTTTTGGGAGTGGTTTTTGGGGATCCAACCCTAGTACAAGGTCAACAATATTACAAAAATCTTTCAACAATAACTCACGAAAGCAGTGGGACTTACGGAAAATTTCATCACAAATTTGAAAGGCACTAAATCTTATCTCTGCATGTTTTCTTTTAAGTTGTTTGCTGAGTAACCTGTATAACTCAATTACATATATGTCAGAGCGCTTACAAATATTTTTCACTTTCTTGAAATTCGTTTCATCTAACTTGTCTTTCCCTGATGTGGTGAGTTCCTCAACTAACTTCTTGAGATGATATGCCTGTTGGTCATTCTCCATGTCCAAGTTCAAAACAGTGATGATATCTGTTGGATGAACAGCAAGTAAATATAAAAATCTGTCAAGTGTGACATCTACCTAGCATAAAGTTACTGTACTGAAATTTAAAAAGAAAATTCTCTTGCCAGTTACTGTACTACTGGTACCACCTTTTAAACTTTTAAAAGCTGATTTTTGACAAATTTGTTTTTATATTTTGGAGTTAATTAACTAGCAAAAAGAAAGGTTATATGGTACTGTACATAATTCATAGGCAAAGTACGAGTATGTTTGCATCCTGGCTCGTTCCGACTAATTACCCAAATGTACCCAAATGTAGCCGCAATGAAGTCAAATAATGGTTCTACGTGAATAAATCGGACTGCCAATCACTTCTCGACTAGTATTTGGTGTCACGAAGTCACAAAAAATTGGAAAACTTACTTTAATCTGAGTTAATAGATCGCGTGCATGTACCGAGGGAGCGTGTAATTACCCAAATGTAGCCGCAATGAAGTCAAATGATGGCCCTACAAGCGTAAATCGGGCTGTGAATCACTTCTCAATTAATATTTGGTGTCATAAAGTCACCAAAAATTGGTAAACTTAATTTAATCTGAGTTGTGTTAGGTTAGGTTAGGTTAGGTACATGCATGCAATCTATTAACTCAGATTACATTATGTTTTCCAATTTCTTTTTACTTCGTGACACCAAATACTAGTCGAGAAGTGATTGGCAGTCCGATTTATTCATGTAGGACCATTATTTGACTTCATTGTGGCTACATTTGGGTACATATGGGTAATTAGTCGGACCCTCCTGGCTAGTCCACACAAGAATGACTCTAATGAAACCACTGCAGCATGTCCCCTTCATTTAAAGTTGATGGTGTGATAGTAAGCAAATGGTGATAGATTAACTGTATTCAAAGGGGATTCACAGATCAACCCTGACTAGGGAGTTGTCTGAGGGCCAATGTGCATCTCCCTAGTTAAGCAACCCATTTTATGAAAGCCACCTAGCCAGAAGACAACAGCCAGAAAAAGATTTACTGTACATGAATTTACCCAAAGTCTTGGATCAGTTGAAAGTATCTCATTTCATATTGCAGATCCACTGACTAACAGATCTCTGTAGTACAGTGCTGGTTGGGGATGGAGAGTAGATTAACAATGGTGTAATGTGATATCATAACAACTTCACCACAAAAGACTTTTCCTGGAAAAGAAAATAAGTAATTTTGTGGGTGATGCTGAAATGAAGGCCAATAAAAAAGCAATATTGAAAACAATAAATAACAATGCCTATGCACTTCAGCAAGCTGTTAAATACCTGTATACTGTAATGAGAAAGTCGAGGTCACTGGCAAATAAAAAAATATATTGTGACAATTACATCTAAATGAAAATGAAAATAAAATATAAACATATAATACTGTACAGTACTGTACTAAGGCACATTCTTATGATGTTAGAACAAAATCTAGGCAATGCTCATCAACAGTCCCCCAACTTAATCTATAGCTATTCAGGGGTCCGACTTGTTACCCAAATGTAGCCGCAATGAAGTTAAATAATGGTCCTACACGAATAAATCGGGTTACCAATCACTTCTTGACTAGTATTTGGTGTCACAAAGTAAAAAAAAATTGGAAAACGTAATTTAATTTGAGTTAATAGATCAAGTGCACGTACCTAACCTAACCTAACCTAACCTAACCTCGACTAGTATTTGGTGTCACGAAGTCACAAAAAATTGGTAAACTTAATTTAATCTGAGTTAATAGATCAAGTGCATGTACCTAATCTAACCTAACCTAACCTAACACAAGTCAGATTAAATTAAGTTTGCCAATTTCTTGTGACTTTATGACACCAAATACTAGTCGAGAAGTGATCAGCAGTCCGATTTATTCATGTAGGACCATTATTTGACTTCATTTTGCTACATTTGGGTAATTAGTCGGACCGCTATTCAGTGCATAACTGTACGGTGTTTAAAAGATAACAAAACCTTTCTTGTATAAAAAAAATACAGTTACTTATAATGCAATAGAAAGTAAACTGTTACTGTATTTTTATAAATCAGTTTGTAAAATATCACGATTATCTGATTATTTACCTCCAAGTTAACCCACAAGTAGATGGAAATATATAATGAAAAACTGTTTAAGTGCATTATGCTGTACTCGGTATTTCTTGTATGAATTTTAACCAACAAATATATAAAATAAAATTATGCATGAACCCCTTATGTCCCTATATAATATAATAAGTGGTGTCTCCGTAATGAAGGGGTTAAACCTAACAAATTCTCAAACTCATTCACGTCCTGTAGGTGGTCCGCTTACCTGAGGACAACCCAATGATCTGTATAATAATCAAGTATTACTGTATGTTCCCTGGGTTATAAACTGTATTAAATATAGACATATAAGGTGATATAATACACTACACGTATTACCTCTTACAAACTAACACTGGGAAAACTGACTCCTTAACTACGGGTTATAAATTAAAGCTTTCTTAACGAACAATTTTATTAATAGTATTTAGAATACAGAGTCATTTTAAGTTTAGAGAATATTTTAGAACTTTAATAGATGTAATTAGAATTCATAACAAATATTTGTAGTTTTGTTATCGTATATTTGTAAAACTCTTAATAATCTTTTCTTTGAGTAGGAAACATGGCTTCTATCCGTGACGTCACGGCTATTGCCAGTAGTACTTTGTGACATTCATGCAGATTTACCGTAATAGTAGTAAATATCACATAATATACAATGGCTTTAATCGTTGATCACACTTCGTTTTGTTCTATTTTACGTACAGCTTACTAGTAAAGTATCATTACTCAGTTACCTGATAATCTTAGGGTTAATTTTCCCTGCATATACAATTTATGGCAATATAGCCTCATGCCACTGTTTAGTCACCTTAGTGTATTTTTTTATTGTATTTAAAAATTTACAATATATATATATATATATATATATATATATATATATATATATATATATATTTATATATATATATTTATATATATATTTATATATATATATATATATATTTATATATATATATATATATTTATATATATATATATATATATATATATATATATATATATATATATATATATATATATATATATATATATATATATATATATATATATATATATGCTGATAACCACAAGGAAAGAAGAAAACACGAAGTTCCCAAGCGCTTTCGTGTAATTCACATCTTCAGGGGTGAGTACAGACTAGAGAGAGTAATACAAATCAAGGTGTATATATACAGAGGAGGGTGAGACCAGGTCCACAATGGTCAGGTATTAGGTAATGACCCTACTAATCTTTAAATAGCACACAACGGTTGGTGGTCAGGTCAGATGGTCAAGTGACCCGGCCTTCTCACCTGATCACAAATCTTCTTAATTACAAAATTGTCCAGCTTGTACATGCCGTTACTCAAATTCATGTTGAATGCTTCGGTATGTTTAATAAGACTAGATTCTATGATGTTCCTACTGTCAATTGACTTACATGGTAATATTGAGGAGGCATTATCCCAGTCAATGCAATGCTTGTTATCCCTCAAATGAACAAACAGAGCATTGGATTCCTGGCCTGTCCTAACACTGTATTTGTGTTGTTTAATTCTAGTTGCAAGATCTTTACCTGTCTGGCCTAAGTAAAACATATTACATTCCTTGCAAGGAACTTTATATATGCAACCAATTGTGTTGTTGGGGGAGTTCTTGATTAACATTTGTTTAACAGTGCACGAGTTTTTAAATGCCACATTGACGTTCCAGGTTTTTAGCTGTGCAGGAATGTGTGAGAAATTTTTGTGAAATGGTAATATTAAGATATTCTTGTGGTCATGGGTGGGCTTGGGGTCAGTTCTATAAAAAGTTTTCTTAGTAATGTTTAAGCATTTGTCTATGAAAGATCTAGGGTATTTAAGGTTTGAGCCAATATTATATATATATTTGTATTCCTCATCGATGAATTCCGGACTGCAAATTCTCAAGGCACGTAAAAACATTGTTGAAAATACTGACTGTTTGACTTTATTATGGTGGGAAAATTTTTGAAAATTTTTGAAAATTTTCGAAAAATTTTTGAAAATTTTTGAAAATTTTTGAAAATTTTTGAAAATTTTTGAAAATTTTGGAAAATTTTTGGAAAATTTTAATTTTTTGGAAATTTTTTGAAAATTTTCGAAAATTTTTCGAAATTTCCTACCAAATTTCAAAATTTTCGAAATTTTCCAAAATTTTCAAAATTTCTGAAAATTTTCCCAAAATTTTCAAAATTTTCAAATTTTCAAAATTTTCAAAATTTTCAAAAATTTTCCCAAAATTTGGAAAATTTGAAAAATTGGAAGAATTAATGGAAAATTTTAAAAGAAAATTTTGAAAGAATTTTGAAAATTTAAAATTTTGAAAAATTTTCTAAAATTTCAAAATTTCCAAAATTTTCAAAATTTTCCCAAAAATTTTCCAAAATTTTCCAAAAATTTTCAAATTTTTCCAAAAATTTTCCCAAAAATTTCCAAAAAATTTTCCAAATTTTCGAAAATTTTCCAAAATTTTCAAATTTTTCGAAAATTTTCAATTTCTAAAATTTTCAAAATTTTTCAAAATTTTTGAAAATTTTAGGAAAATTTTGAAAATTTTAAATTTTGGAAAATTTTGGAAATTTTGAAAATTTGGAAAAGAATTTTGAAACTTGAAATTTTTTGAAGAATTTGAAAAATTTTAAGAAAATTTCGAAAAAATTTTCGAAATTTCGAAAATTTCAAAAATTTTCCAAAATTTTGGAAGATTTTCCAAGAGCACTTTCAAAGTTTTCAAAGATTTTTCCAAAATTTTCAAGAATTTTCCAAAAATTTTCCAAAATTTTCAAATTTTCCCAAGATTTTCTCCAAAATTTTCCAAAATTTTCAAAATTTTCAAAAATTTTCCAAAATTTTCGAAATTTTTTCAAAATTTTCCCAAATTTAAAAATTTTCCAAAATTTTTTCCAAGGTTCCAAAATTTCCAATTTTCGAAATTTTCGAAAATTTTCAAAATTTTCAAAATTTCAAAATTTCAAAAATTTCAGTATTCCCCAGTTACTTTCGAAGGTTTCTGAAAGATTTCTCAAAATTTTCCAAAATTTTTCGAAAATTTGCAGGAAAATTTTGGAAATTACTGAAATTGCAGAATTTTGAAAATTACTAAAATTTGAAGAATTTCAGAAAATCGGACAATTTTGAAAATTTTTGGAAAATTGGAAATTTTAATTGGAAAATTTTTTGGAAAATTTTGAAAATTCCAAAATTCCAAAATTTTCCAAAATTTTTCCCAAAAATTTCAATTTTCAAAATTGTCCAAAATTTTAAAATTGTCCAAAAATTTTTCGAAAAATTTTCAAAATTTTAAAATTTTCCAAAAATTTCAAAATTTTTTCCAAAAATTTTTCCAAAAATTTCCAAATTTTCCAAAAATTTCCCCAAAATTTTCAAACATTTTTGAAAAATTTTCGAAAATTTTGATTTAATTCGAAATTTGGAAATTTGGAAAACGAAAATTTTAAACGAAAATTTTGAAAAATTTTAAATTTTGGAAAAGAACTGAAATTCGAAAATTTTTGAAAATTTTCAAATTTACAAAATTTCTAATTTTCCAAATTTTCCAAAATTTTCCCAAGAGTGCGGAAGAATTTTGAAATTTTTCAGTGGAGATTTTGAAAATTTTCCCAAAGTTACTCAAAATTTCAAAAATTTTCGAGAAATTTTCAAAAATTTTCAAAATTTTTCAAAATTTTCGAAAAATTTCAAAAAGTTTCAAAATTTCAAAATTTTTAAAGTTTTCAAGAATTTTACTGGAAGATTCTGGAAGGTCTGGAAAATTCTGAAGAATTTTGGAAAATTTTGAACATTGGAAAGAATTTTGGAAAAATTTTGAAGGTACTCGAAATTGAAGAATTTAATTTGAAAATTTTGAAAAATTTTGGAAAATTTTGGAAATTTTTCAAAATTTCTGGAAAGGTTTCCCAAGGATCAAGGATTCGAGGTTTTTCAAAGGTTACTCCCAAGGTTACTCAGGTTCTCAAGGATTTTCCCAGGTTACTCAAAATTTTCAAGGGATTTTCAAAGGATTTTCAAGATTTTCCAAGGATTTCCAAGATTTTCCAGGATTTTCAAGGATTTTGGGAAGGTTTTCAAGGTTCAAGGTTACCTCAAGGTTGACCAAGGTTACTCAAGGATTTTCGAAGGATTTTCCAAAATTTCAAATTTTCGAGTTACTCAAGGTGCTATTCAAAGGTTATAAGGATTTTTCAAGGATTTTCAAGGTTACTTCAAAGGATTTTCCCAAGGTTACTCGAGTTTTGGGAAGGTTGCAGGTGCAGAAGTCTGAGGATTCTGAAGATTACGGAAGGATACGAAGGTCTGAAGGTTTTGGAAGAACCTGGAAGGATTTTCAAGGAGTTTTCCGAGTTACGAATTTTCAAGGATTTTCCAAGGATTTGGAGGTACTCAAGGTTACTCCAGAGGATTTTCAAGGTTACTCGGTTCTCAAGGTCCCTCAAGGTTGCTCAAGGTTCTCCAAGGTACTCAAGAGTTTCTCAAGGTTCTCAAGGTTTCAAGGAATTTTCCAAGGTTACTCCCAAGGTTACTCCAAGGTACTCAAGGTTGCTCCCAGGATTTTCCCAAGGTTGCCTCGAGGTTACTCAAGGTTGCCTCAGGTTACTGAGGGATTTTCAACTGGAGAGAGTTCGAGAGTTACTGGAGGTTACTGGAGGTTGCTCCCAAGGTTACTCGAGGCCTCAGGTTTCAAGGTTACTCCACGAGGTTACTCCAAGGTTCCCAAGGTTTTCAAGGGATTTTCAAGGATTTTCCCAAGGTTTTCCCAAGGTTTTCCAAGGTTGCCTCGAGGTGCCGAGAGGTTACTCGAGGATTCTGGTGCAATTCTGAAGAACTGGAAGGCACTCGAGATTGGAAGGATTTTCGAAGGATTTTCCAAAATTTTCCAAGGTTACTCCCAAAGTTGGAAGGTTACTTTCCAAGATTTTCAAGGGATTACTCAAGGTTACTCCCAGAGATTACTCAGATTTTTCAAGGTCTCCCAAAGAATTTTCAAGGATTTTCCAAGGTCTCAAGAGTTCTCCAAGGTACTCAAAATTTTCCAGATTTTCAAAAGTTTTTGGAAGGTTCTGGAAGGTCTCGAAGAGCCTGAAAAATTCTCGAAGATTTCAATGTTACTCCAAGATTTTCAAAAGTTTTCCAAAGGTTACCAAGATTTTCCAAAGTTTTCAAGGTTACTGAAGGTACAGGTGGAAAAGAGCCTCGAAAATTTGGAAAAATTACTGGAAGGATTTTTGAAGAACTGGAAGGAGGAACTGGAAATTATTCAAAATTTTCCAAAATTCTCAAGATTTTCGGAATTTCATCAAGAGATTTTTGAAGATTTTCGAAAATTTTGAAAAACCGGA